TTCCCAATTAGATTTACATGAAGAAAGTCGAAATCTTGTCATAGAAGAAGAATGTGGTCGAGTCTGTAACTTATATATGTAGATATTGCAATATGATTCATATGAATAAAGATATACTATTTGTTTTTAAATCTTGGTTCTTTGGAATGTTACCATCTGGGTCAAAGGCACTTTAATGTCAAAGTCTGGAGTTCCCATCACTATATTTAACATTCAAATCGTACTTTGATTTTTCGCAGATGACGAATATTAGTTCGGACTTGTTGTTGAGAACCACCAACCATTCATTTGTGTGTTGCAGATTCTATATTGTATGAGATTTATGTTTCTCATTCTCAGTTTTGTTTCGGATTTGAAAATGTTCAATTTTCTAGACATCATCATTTGGTTATTTCCTTAATCTTCTTACTCAAAACATTTTCACGATTTTTACCCAATTAGCCGCGTATTGAAAATTTCCAAACGTGTGGGTCCATTGGGGACGTGTCACATTTCCCCTTATGTTCTTCATCTTGATTGGATAATTTTTACAAAAGGTCAACACAGTGGCATAATCGTAAATCTAGCAAACTTTCGTCCCTCCCTTTTTAACTCGCCGGCAAAGTTTCCGTCGTATATTTCTTCACTCCCACCACTTTTTTCCTTCCTTTTGATTTGACCAAAACGAATAATCTTAAGAGCGATGAAGCATATTTTCAAGAAGCTACACAGAGGTGGGAATCAAGAGCAGAATCGGACCAACGATGCTGTTCCGTCATCGGATCAGAATCGGGTTTCCGTTGCTGCGAATCCTCAAGCAACTCCTTCTTCGGTCTCGGAGACGATTCCGGTGAGCGGAGCCACTTCTTCGTCGGTGACTTCTCCTGCCCCAACTTCTGCTGCGAACCGGTCGGATTACATATCTTCCGAGGAGGAATATCAAGTACAGTTAGCCCTAGCGATCAGTGCGTCGAATTCGCAGTCTAGTGAGGATCCGGAGAAGCATCAGATCCGAGCGGCGACGTTGCTGAGTTTAGGAAGCAATCATCGGATGGAGTCAAGGAGGGATTCATCGGAAGTGGTGGCTGAGAGGTTATCGAGACAGTACTGGGTTAGTGTTCTCTTGTTCTGTAGAGAAATGCTGAAATCGCTCTCAATATAGTTTCGTTCTCTTTACCCATATCTTGTTCATAGTGAATTCATGGTGTGCCGAGCCTGATCAGAGTTCTTACTGATAAGAGTTTCTGTATTGCCGAATTTAGCATTTTCATGATTGTGGGGATTCTCATTGATTTAGTGGATTCCGTAGCTAATTGAATTTCAGATTGGTACCTTCGAATTGCATTACTCCTGTACTGATCCATATGCCAAAGAAGCTTCCCGGTGTCGATTTTTGCACTGCATCCATGGTTTTACTTGAATAACTTGTATTAAACTTGTCCTAGGAATATGGCGTGCTTGACTATGAGGAGAAAATTGTCGATAGCTTCTATGACGTGTACAGTCTATCGACTGACTCGGCGAAGCAGAAAGAAATGCCATCGCTGGAGGATCTTGAAAGCAACCATGGAACCCCTGGCTTTGAAGCTGTAGTTGTAAATCGACCCATTGATCCTTCCCTCGATGAGTTGCTACAGATTGCACAATGCATTGCACTGGATTGTCCTACTACCAGTGTTAATGTGTTGGTACAGAGGCTGGCTGAACTTGTCACTGGGCATATGGGTGGATCTGCGGAAGATTCCAGTATAGTATTGGCAAGGTGGACTGAAAAAAGCAGTGAGTTCAAGGCAGCACTAAATACTTGTGTATTCCCTCTTGGATTTGTAAATGTTGGTCTTTCCAGGCATCGTGCTCTGCTTTTCAAGGTAAATCTTCCTGACCCTCTTCCTGGCTTTAGTGTTTTTTTTAATCCTACTTCCTTCTTCCGGTGGAAAATATGTCTACTTGTAGCTAATAATGAACTCCTTGACTGATGGGCCACCTTGTGAAAAGAAGTTTAAATGGAATCATATGTGAAGGATGACTGAACAGATGCCTTGTGCTGTGAACTGAATACCGAGATTTTTGTTGTACATATTGATACCCTTTTTTTAAACTTCAATGAGTTTCAATCTCTTGCATTAGAATCTACCCTTGCAATGGCTGATAATATCTATGGTGCTTCAATTTCAAATTACCCCTATTTAGTAAATCTGAGTTAGTTGATTTCCTTCTGCCTTGTTTGAATGAGACATCCACAACTATTTATTCGCACCTAAGCAGATGCCTTGCTTCTTCTCATATATTTTGTTTGATTTCAGAAGTTAATTCGTGGGCAGTTTACTTCTCCTAATGTAGGTTTTGGCAGATAGTGTGAGGTTACCTTGTAGGTTGGTAAAAGGTAGCCACTACACGGGAAACGAGGATGATGCTGTGAACACAATAAGACTGGAAGATGAAAGGTTGTAGCTTATTCTTCTTACTATGATTCCAGTAATTTCTTTTTTATTTGCTTGTGAAGATGTAACATATCTCCCCTCCTTTCAGAGAGTACTTGGTAGATCTTATGACAGACCCTGGGACGCTTATACCTGCTGATATTGCAATTGAGCCATTCAACTCACATGGAAACAAATTTCCCACAGCTCAGTTGTCGAAAGACTTCAGACACTCAGCGCCACAGCTGTCAGAAGGTGAAGGCAGTAGTCAGAGTCCTATGGCTGACAATACTTCTTCTTTGGATAGAAGGTCAGAGGCNGAAAAGGCAGATTCCTCAAGCATAACTAATTCCAGTCAGTTGGAAAATATTTCCTTGGCAGCAATTGCAAAGGGGAATCGAGGAGCCATGAATGATAGTCCAAGAACGAACATGAATATAGTTCCCTACAATCAGAACAGTGACGAAGACCCAAAAAACCTTTTCGCAGATCTTAACCCATTTCAAAATAAGGGAACTGACAAGCTGTATATGCCCACTAAATCAGGTTTGAATAATGTTGATGATTTTCATCAACAAAAAAATAATCCTCTGGTTGGTAGATCACCTGCACCAATGATGTGGAAGAACTACAGTTGCAATGAAGCCCCGAAGAGAAAAGAGAATAATTATATGGAAAATCTTCTCCCGAAACTCCACCGAGAACCTCGTTATGGAATTAATAATTCGTCATATGCTACCTCAAGCTCCAATGGAGCTGTTTTGTCAAATGTGCCTGGCAGAGACAATGTGACTTTTGTGTCACCGGCTGCTGCGTCATCATCCTTCACTTCCACTGGAGATCAGTTCACACCAAGTCTGGTGGAGGATATGAACAGAAACACTAACAATGAACTAGATATCCAGTCTAATGCTGTGGTACATGGACACCAAAAAGATGAATCTCACGTTCATGATCGTAGAAAGTACACAAGTGATGACATATCTACTGGGTCTGATCCGAGGCTCAAGGATCAAGAAAGTACAAGTTCATCTCTTGATTCTACATCCTACCGGAATGATCCTCAAATTCTTGATGATGCAGATGTTGGTGATTGTGAGATCCCTTGGAAGGATCTTGTGATTGGGGAGAGAATAGGATTAGGTAATGTGGCCTGCTGGTTATTTTTCTAAATTTTTGAAATATTAAACTAGTTAGCATCTTTTTTTCTTTTTTACGGCAACTACCTAGTATCTATTGGAAGCAAGATTTTGTAGCCTAGCCCCTTTCTAGCATCTACCATTGCTTATTACTTGGGATAGCTATGACATTATTAACTCTTCAGGTAACATATAGCTTTTGGAGATCACATGTTCTAATTCTTCTCTTATTTTGGTTAGGGTCCTATGGGGAGGTCTATCATGCTGACTGGAATTGCACGGTTAGTTTTTAAAGAACCTTACGTTTGACATTATAAGATTGGTATTGTAGCAATGTTTTTCTCCAGAACTTGCTCCACTTTAGCTGTGTTCACATTATTTAAGGTTTGAATTGTGTCAAGAAGTTTGTATCTGGAACTTGGAACATTAACCTGTCGAATTTGCTAATATTTAGAAGACTTACGACTATGTTAAATGAGATGAGTTGAAACAGCCAAAATGCAGCGCCTAGATGCATGTTTGGTCATTGAACAGTCAAAACAGTGGTTGGGTTTTTTAAAGTGGAACATTATAGATAGGCTTGTTCAGTCACTAGTCACAAATGCATCAGGGGCCTCTATGGTATCTTCTGGCATTCTCTCATCAGTATTACTTGTTGTCTTTTTAGTTTGTGTAGTTTTAATCATTTTCGTGATTTAAAATAACCTTCTGTGTCTGCCCATGCTATACTATCTCACCTCTTCTTTCCAGAAGTGGAAGGTTTTAAGTTAATTATTCTGCGTCTTTGTTATGGTTGAATCTAGGAAGTTGCTGTCAAGAAATTCTTGGACCAAGACTTCTCAGGAGCTGCTTTGGCCGAGTTCAGAAGAGAAGTAAGCCATAAGTTCACAGGCGTTTGTTTACTAGTATTCTTTGCCGCTAGTCTTTACAGTATTAATTAGGTCAAAACACCTCATCACAAGATGCCAGTCGGGGAAGGAATATCTAACCTGTTTATATGATTTCACTTCTTAACCTTAGTATATGGGTAGCACAGTCTACTGGTCACTACGAGATAGTGTGTGGTCTATTTCTTGTTTGTTATGAAATTCCTCCGATGTAGGCAGAATGATGTCGAGAGTCCATATTAGCGAGAGCCTGGGGTCCTTTTTATAAAATTCTGAAAGTAAATTGTTGAAGTCAGGGTTATCTGCTGAGGGAGGCTACCCATTTCTTGGTTGAACCAGAATGACCTATGTTGCAGCTGCATATATACTTGCCTTTCAATTCCCACTCGTATTATTAATGTTTCCTTATTTGAAGGTACGCATTATGCGAAGATTGCGTCATCCAAATGTTGTTTTCTTCCTTGGGGCTGTTACTCGTCCTCCGAACCTTTCCATTGTCACAGAGTTTCTGCCAAGGTTTGTCCCATCGTCTTGTTTTGCAAATCAATTGCATATGAGATTTTTGAGCCCTCAAAGATTCTAATTTTATTTTTGTTATAGAGGAAGCTTGTATCGCATCCTCCATCGGCCCAAATCTCAGATTGATGAGCGGCGTCGGATTAAAATGGCCCTTGATGTGGTAGAAAAATAAATCAATATATTATGTCCCCTGGCTTAATCCTGTAAAAAGTCACTAAATTTCAGACCACTGTTACTTTTCAGGCAATGGGGATGAATTGCTTACACACCAGCACACCGACAATTGTTCATCGTGATTTAAAAACACCAAATCTTCTGGTTGATAACAATTGGAATGTCAAGGTAAGAAAACATTTTTTTTCTAAGCTGTCCAACTAATAGACTTGTTTACTAGGATGCTAAATTATTAGATTTTGTTTCTCTCTCACTAACCTTGCAGGTCGGTGATTTTGGGTTGTCTCGTTTAAAGCACAATACTTTTTTATCATCAAAATCAACTGCTGGAACGGTGAGAACACAACTCTTTTATTTCACTACTTTTTTATAGACATGCAATTTTCAGCTGGCATGCTCGTACTATGGGCTATGGCTTCTTTTCTGATGACATGCGTTTTTAATTTTGCTAGCCCGAATGGATGGCTCCAGAAGTTTTACGCAATGAGCCCTCAAATGAAAAGTGAGTAGCTTAGGCTCTCAGTTCTGTACTTGGCTCTACTATAATACAATTTTTTAGTTCCTTTCACCTTTTTGAAGAAGAATGAAAAAAACCGTTGCTGCTTTTCTACAGGTGTGATGTTTACAGTTTTGGGGTAATTCTTTGGGAACTTGCGACATTGAGATTGCCATGGCGAGGAATGAACCCGATGCAAGTAGTTGGAGCAGTTGGTTTCCAGAATCGGCGGCTTGAGATCCCAAAGGAACTTGATCCTGTGGTGGGAAGGATCATCTTGGAATGTTGGCAAACGTAAGTAATGAAAACAAACTTTAATACACTCTGAGAATCTGCACAGGTGGTGACAAATGTGTCGTCTCTTTTTTATTTGTTTGAGCAGGGATCCGAATCTGCGCCCGTCCTTTGCTCAGTTGACGGAAGTGCTGAAGCCTTTGAACCGGCTCGTGCTTCCTTCGCCACAGTAGTATGTGAATATATATGTGAAAGACGGTTTAATCATATATATACTATGATGCCTCATAAGTCATCCTAGAGATTTGAGGAATGTAAATGAAATCAATTTTACTATGTTTTCTGGTGTAATTGTTATAGGAAAAGCCGCGATGCTGTGCTTATATTATTGGGTTCGTCTCCTCTGTTTTCCCCCCAAAGGAACTTTTCCAAGAACCAGGTTCAATGACGGTTCACGCTTTGATATATCGCCATCTTTTACCCATCAAAATTATACAATTGACTCTCCAAACTAACCAACCATAATCTCCAAAATTATTATGTTTAGTTGTCTTCACTTTTGGGTTATAAAGATCATCTTTAATGATTATGGGACAAAACTATAAATTCCGAAAGACTTGGGGGTGTTACGAAAATAATAAAAACGCTCAGAGGGAGAGACTGTACGTGGAGTGCGAGGACAGTGAGTGATTAGGGTCCACAAATTGGCGCGAAATCCATGGGTAGAAACCCACCGAAGTCGAAGGATTTTCTCTGGCGAACAACAATGTCACTCTCTCTCTA